GAAACAAAAATGCCCATGAAGGAAGACTTGTGCTTCTACTTCCTCCGTGACACGTGGAACCCTGAAACTGGACCAGACAGCTGGCCGCCTCCTCCCCGGGTGCTTCTCCTCAGATGGACATGTCGCCTGGAGGGCCTCAGTTTGAGGCAGTTCCTGGATAGATTTGACATAGCAGTTACTGTCTCATGCATAATAATATTGGTTAACCTTCATGAAGTGCTTACTAAGTTTTCTATATGCGCCACGTCATCTAATCGTAGCAGCCGTTCTGAAAGTTCTGGGAGGTTGGGTTCCCATGCATGTCATCCTGCAGGTGCGGAAGAAGGGCCAGGGCCGCTGTCGCGGGATCGCTGCTGTTACACTGCCCCCGAGTGTCAGCTCCCCTGCCAGTGCCTTCTCCTCGACCCCCTTTTATCACTTACACATGTATTGTTTTGCTTCCTTGTTTATAAATTAATTTTTAATTTTAAATAATTTGAGATACAGAAGTGTGACGGAGGTAACACTGAGCGCCTGTACACCCTTCACCAGCTTCCTCCTTCCTTCCCCATGGTACATATGCCCAACTCTTAAAACATCGTTTCTGCTCATTTTCCTGAATGGCAGGTGCTGGGTGGCCAGAAACAGTTCAAGAACTTTCAGATCGAGGTGCAGAAGGGTCGCTACAGTCTGCACGGCTCGGACCGTGGCTTCCCCAGCCTGGGGGAGCTCATGAGCCACCTCAAGAAGCAGATCCTGCGCACGGACAACATCAGCTTCGTGTTGAAGCGCTGCTGCCAACCCAAGCCCCGAGGTTGGTCCCTGCACCCCTGTCCTGCTCTGCCCTTCACTGACGCTCCCAGACCCAGAGCCACCAGAAGGCTGCTCTTTGAAGAGGGCCCCTCCCCACAGTTTCTAAGTGTTTTCCTTTGCATTTTCTTACATGTCTGTCCCCAACTCAAATCCATTTCCTCAAGTGGAGCATTTTCTATAGAAAAAACACACACTTTTCTCCACATCCCTAAGCTGCAGAAAGAGGCCTCTTAGGATTCACAAGCAGAAACTTCTTTCTTCATTAAGATAAAATGTCTTGAGATGCCCTTGTCAGTGGTTTATCTTAGAAATGAACTCAACACACCTTCTGTGGGCCAAGAATTGTTAGATGCAAAGACTCAGGAATGTCTCACACCTGGTCCCTCCTCTCCAAGGGTTTCCTGTCGAATACAGAATATGTTGCAGGGAAATGAGGCCACTGCAGGATAGAGCATGTGTTTTAATTAACACACACAGGTATCAGTCCCTGGGCTTATAAAGAAGTGATGGTCAAAGCCCTTGAGTCACAGGAAATGGAAGGCTGCACGGAGGAAGTGGATCTTGAGCCGTGTGTTGGCCGACGAGCAGGAGCTTGCCAGTTGGGGAAGGGCCTTTGCAGCAGAGCATGTGCAGGGCAGAGCGGCAGGCAGAGCCGGCTGCGGAGGGGAGCTGGAGGCCACTGAGCTTGGTGGAGTTAGAAGACGGGAGGGAGACACTTGGGATTGTGGTTGGCCTCGAGTGCCACACAAGGAGCTCGGACTTTATCCTACAGGGAGTGGGAGCCATGGGAAGATCAAGGAGTAAGACGGACAGGAGGGGTGAGGAACTTGGCTGCTCTTTTGTAGGCTCTGGGAACCTGTCACGATTCACTGCAGGTGGAGTCATTACCTTTTCTCATGTGAGAACTGAACGGACACTTAGGGGTGACCGGTTCGATTCTCGGTCCGGGGCCATGCAGGAGGCAGCTGATTGATAGATCGATGTTTCTATCTCTCCCCTCCTCTTTCTTCCCCTCTCTCTAAAATAAAAACATTTTTTAAAAAACGATAATTACAGCGGTAGCTACCATATTGGTGGGTACTTACTAGTCCCAAGCAGTATAAATGCATATTTGCATTTCTTCCATCTACATCATAGTTCTTTGTAGCTTTTATAAAGATGAGGAAATTGAGGCTCAGAGATGTTCAGTGACTTGTTGAAGGCCACACAGCTAGTAGTATCAGTAATACTTACAACAGTAGTAGCAGTGATGATGGTTACAGCTTCCATCATGTGAGCAATGCTTGCAGTTTGCCAGGCAGTGTTTGAGGGTCTTTCATGTTTTAAGTCATTTAATTTTCAGAACAACTCAGAATATGTTGTTATCCTGATCATACTTGTCCAAGATCACTTAGGTAGAGGAAGAGTGGGGGTTTGGAGACCAACTTCTAACTCCAACTTCAGTGATCTTTCCCCTTGTTGCACTATTTTTGCAAAGGTGCAGCCATCAGCCTAAGACTCTGGGGCAAGGGACAATTCTCTGAGGGGGGGCGGGGGTGCGGGGGGAGGGACTAGAGTTGGGGAGAGTAAGAGTAAGCCCTGTGTGTGAGGCTTCCTCATGCAGGCCCTCAAGGCCCTCTGTCTTCCTCTGTCCCCTACAAATTAGAGAAGTGGTGAAATCATGAACATTAAAGAGAATGTCATTTTGAGTACCTCAGTGTCTCTGCCCTTCTAACCGCAAGGCTCTGATGGCCAGACCCCCATTCGGGTTTCTTACTTGAAAACACAATGGAGAAACTCCCTGTGGAATAAATTAAAAGCCGGCAGCCACTCAGAGTGGCCTGTGTGTTGTCCAGCACCACTGATCCTCGTCCTCATCTGTGGAGTCCAGCGTGGTGCTGATTTCTGCACCCTTCAGCTCTGACTGAGGACTCCTGTTGCCAAGGCTCGATGACCCCCTGGTGTCGCTTCCTTTTGGTTGGTTAAGTATTTGATTGCGTTTGGCTCTGTGATTAGCCTGTGAGCTCCTGGAGGGCAGGAATGAAGTACTTAATAAATATTTGTTGCATGACTGAACCAACAAATGCACAAGAATGTGTTCGGCAAGCCCCTGGCTCGGCAGACACTGGCTGATGGGAATCTCGGGCCTTTGTTACTTGACTCAGACTTCTTTCTTCCACAGAAATCTCCAATCTGCTGGTGGCTACGAAGAAAGCCCAGGAGTGGCAGCCCGTCTACCCCATGAGTCAGCTGAGTTTCGATCGGATCCTCAAGAAAGACATCATGCAAGTGAGTCACTGCTGCTGCTCCTGAGGCCCACTTTGGTCCCGCCTCCCTCCAGCAGAGCAGCCAGGGGACTTGTGTGTGTGTGTGTGTGTGTGTGTGTGTGGCGGGTGTGGGGTGTATTGGGGTTTAGGCACATCTGTATTAAAGGGCCGCGGCATTAGGAAGGTTGAGAACCACTGCTCTAGACACAGCTCTGTCACCACCAGAGGGGACAGAGAACAATGAGGACCGGCCTTCAGAAAATAACTTACAGTAATGGAGTGAGGCAGCTGTGTCCGTAGGCTTCCACTTCCTCAAAGCCCTATCCAGCAATTTGGGAATTAACTTAGCAAACCACCCCCATGCCCGCCACCTCCACCAGCCTCCTTAAAGACAGTGAGTCCATCACGCGCTCTCCATCTCCTCCAAAGTGCCGCAGCCTCTCCCAGCTGACAAATGGCCCTTTGCCGGTTCCTTCTCTGCAAGGCTGCTGGGTGCTGTCTCCTTAGTCTCCCCTGCTGTGTGGCTCTGTGGGAGAGGGGTGTGGAACAGAGAGTGGGATAACCCGGGCCTCACACCCCTAGCCAAGGCTCAGGGCAGCTATGAGGGAACAGCCTGCCTCAGGCTGCAGCCTGGGCTAAGGACCCGCCAAGGCCGGGACTCCGCTTTGGGATCTGTTTCTCCAGACAGTTCTCCTTCAGGCCTCAGTTCTGCATCTCCTATTGCCTCACCATGTCTGTGTTTCCTCAGCTGTGCTCCTTCTGGAAGCATCATCAGAAAAGTCCACACTAAATCTCAGAAGTTCTGCCATAGCATGTTCCCGGACATAAGGTTCCCGGACAACCCCACTCAGCCCCACTGATCCCCGTCCTTCACGGAGAACACGCCTCTGGGGAGCATCCGCAGGACGGCAGGGAGGCTGCTGGTTCAACCACTTTAACTCGGAAAGGAGTCTTCTTGTTCCTTTTCTAGAGGTTAAATAAAATCACCAGGGCAGCGGTGCCCCAGCCTCCTTTCTGTCTAGAACAGTGGTTCCCAACCTTCCTAATGCCGCGACCCTTTAGTACAGCTCCTCATGTTGTGGTGAGCCCCAACCATACAATTATTTTCGTTGCTACTTCATAACTGTAATTTTGCTACTGTTACGAATCGTAATATAAATATCTGATACGCAGGATGTATTTTCATTGTTACAAATTGAACATAATTAAAGCATAGAGATTAATCACAAAAACAATACGTAATAATATGTGTTTTCCAATGGTCTTAGGCGACCCCTGTGAAAGGGTCGTTCAACCCCAAAGGGGTCGCGGCCCACAGGTTGAGAACCGCTGCTCTAGAATGTGATGTGTACCCAGGGCCTGCCCTCTTTCCTTCCTCTGGAGCTGCTGGGCCACCGCCATCCTCAGGCCTCGAGCATTCATTCAGCCAACAGGCTGGAGCAGTGCCGTGTGCCTGGTGCACTTGCCACCCTCGGCAGCTCACAGCTGGGGGAGGAGGCAGACCTGTCTACCTAAGTAGATATTTGTGTTATCAAGAGACAAATCCTAAGTATAGCAGGATGGACAGCAGGATATGGGGCTCTCAGTGACCGTCATCCCACCTAACCTGGGGAGGACAAAGATGGCTTCCTGGGTACGTGGCATCAGAGCAGAGCCCAGAGGGTGAAGAGCAAGCGCCAGTAGAAGCAGAGGGATCAGCATGGAGGAGGCTGACGTGGACACGCAGGGCCTCTGAGGGCTCCTGTGGGATCCTGACGGCGTGGTGCCGTGACTTGGCCACTGGAATCAGTAACCTTTCTGGGGAAGAGTAATTACTCTGAAAGCATATGGCTTTTCCGGGATGTTCTGGGAACACACTTCCCATAACCTTGATGAATCGCTTCATGACAGGTGCAGCTCTAATGAGTACTCGCAGGCCCTTGCCAGGATCCGGGAGACGGGGCAGATGTATCACCATCTGCAGTGACAGATGACAAGTAGTGGTGTTTGTGCAAATTAATATACCCGATTAACGATGGTGTACATTCCTGTGGGGAACGGGAACCAGCACACAAGGCAGCTACCATCCATTTCTGCATTTATAGAGGGTCCCAAAATAATAGAACTTCAGTTTACAGGTTTTGTGGGGTTAATATCAATGACCATGCCTATGATTTATGAGTCATGTGCTGATTCCAGATATTAAAAATGGTTAGATCAGGATTATTCAAGCTTAAACTGGGAGGGTCCTTAGACACAGATCATTGTGTGCTAAGGACTTTGTGCAGATGGTCTCCTTTAGTCCTCAGGCCATTCCTTGGGTGGGATCATCCATTCTCACCCGTGAGGAAATTGAGGGCCTGCCCTCCAGCCTGTGCGTCTGTCCACATCACCTTCCTTGTGGGATTGCTAGGGCAAATGCGTGTGTGAATTGCATCACTAATTCTAAAGCAGGGGTCCTCAAACTACGGCCTGCGGGCCACATGCAAATACAAATATTGTATTTGTTCCCATTTTGTTTTTTTACTTCACACTAAGATATGTGCAGTGTGCATAGGAATTTGTTCATAGAGTTTTTTTAAACTATAGTCTGGCCCTCCAACGGTCTGAGGGACAGTGAACTGGCCCCCTGTTTAAAAAGTTTGAGGACCCCTGTTCTAAAGCATGGACACATGCACTGGATATGTGGATAGAGGATGAACAGTTCATGTGTGAGAAACAGTGAGTGCCTGGTTGGGGCAATCAAACAAAATACACCAGCCCAACAGATTGGCTTGTACCCATCCTGTGCCAGCATCTGTACCAGGAGCCTTTGTACCTATTTGTGCCTCTGACTCTGAGGCAGGTCCCATTGTTACCCCTGGTTACAGAGAGTGGGCAGACATTGAGAATGGTAAGGGAAGGTCCCCAAGTTAGATGGCCAGCAAGCAGTAGAGCCAGGGCTAAGAAGCCCCTGTGTGTGTGACTCAGCCTGTGAGCGGAGTCCCCAAAGGGGTCCTCTCTCCATCTGCTCTGGAGGCCGAGGGCGGAGCTGATGTCGGGCTGTTGCAGCACTGCTGGAAGTGTTGTGGTAGTCATTCAGGGTTATGTTTTGGCCACAGGCTGTTCCTAGAAGTAGAAGGAAGGAAGGGAGTGTTTGGGAATAGGAGGGCTGTCTCCTGGGGCCCAGGAAGTGCCACACTGTTTGGCAAGTAGCTTTTTGTTTCCTCTGGAGGCCTGACCAGGACAAGGTACTGGAGAGGCTTTGAACCACTGGGGCGCTTTTGCCTGTGCCCCACCCCCTCTGGTGTGTATGCCCATTAAGGCCTCAGTCCCAGGCTCCAGCAGTCACCCAGCCTCTTGCTTCCTCCTCCAGGGAGAGCACCTTGGGAGAGGCACGCGGACACACATCTACTCTGGGACCCTGGTGGATTACAAGGATGACGAAGGAACTTCTGAAGAGAAGAAAATAAAAGTGATCCTCAAAGTCTTGGACCCCAGCCACAGGGACATTTCTCTGGCAAGTGTCCTCCTAACCCACCTCCCGTCTGTGGAACCTGTGGAGCACAGTCAGCTGGGAAGAACCTTTGCCCTTACTTTGGCCTTATTTATGGTTTTCAAACATGTCTTTTATGTAATCCCCTTTTTCACATGTAATCTTAGATAAGGGAGGGAGGATTGGAGGTGAAGTAGATTGAGCAGCAATTCCCGCCGGCTGATCCCTCCCCTCTCCTCCTATTTTCTACCTGGAGGTTCTTGTGGCCCCAGGACTCCAGTCTCAGAGCCCTCATGTAGTCAGGCGGTCACTCCACAGTCTGGAAAAGGAAAGCCCAGGGGAGTGGAAACGTACCCCGGGTCCACGGGCTGTTAGAGAGATGGAGCCTGTTTGCGCCCTAGTGTCCCTTTTATTCTAATACAGTGCTGCACATTGTCATTTCCCAGCGTTCAAAGGGAGCGAAAGTGGTAGGTGTGAGTATGCAATGAGGAAATTGATAGCTAGCCTATCTCACCAGCCTGGCTCCATATCTTACTAGGTTTTTCTAAATAAATACCACCCCCAGCCAGACTGAGGTCAAGGGGAAGGCCTGGCACTGCCCCTGGGAAGTCGAGGCCGGGAGCAGTCTTCAGGACCTGGGGGATGAGTCCTGAGCTTTCTGGGATCCATCGGCTTTTCTCTCAGCACAGCCCGTATGGGGTCGGGTCAGACCAGGGTGGCTTACCCTTGACCTTCCTTCTCACACAGGCCTTCTTCGAGGCAGCCAGCATGATGAGACAGGTCTCCCACAAACACATCGTGTACCTCTACGGTGTCTGTGTCCGAGACGTGGAGAGTAAGTATGTTCTCTTTGGGAGAGGCGGATGGCCCTGGCTGGGGGGTCATGGGTGCTGTGAAGACACCTGGGGGTTCGGGAGCTGATACCCCCTTCTTGTTGTCCTCGCTTCTTGCCTTTCGTTTTGCAGTCGAGGGATTTGAGGTACTGAGCAGGTCACGTGTTTAGGTTAATAGTGACCCTGACACTAAATCCCATTTGCTTTCCACTCATTTCTTGAAAGTTCTCTTCTTGCCAACTCTGGGCCCTGGAAGGCTGGGTAGATAAGTGGAGTTGTTCCCCTCTGAGTCGATGCAGAAGGAGCTCTAGGCCGGGCTTGAACCCAGGGCTTGAACCGGCTCTGAATCACTCTGCTGTTTGCCCCTCCTGAGGGTGTTGGCATCCTCCCAGGCCGAGCACCAGCCACTCAAGCTCTCACAGGGGAATGAGGGAAAGTACTGTCCCAGACAGACAGAAGGTTCCAGATGGGGCTCGTTCTGTGCTTGCAGATATCATGGTGGAAGAGTTTGTGGAGGGCGGGCCTCTGGACCTCTTCATGCACCGGAAAAGCGACGTCCTCACCACTCCGTGGAAATTCAAAGTTGCTAAACAGCTGGCCAGTGCCCTGAGTTACTTGGTAAGTATCTGCTGATCTGATGTTGGTGGAGGTCTGCCAGGAACCAGAATGCCCTGGTAGGTAGGAATGCGCTGGTAGGAAGGAGGTGCTAGCCAGGGACAGCCAAGTAGGCTGGGGTGCCCAGACTCTGCGGTTAAACACGGCATGCCTGCTGCTTCGTGAACATGGTCATATTGGGCTGCTCTTTGTGCTCCGAACGCATGAATCTTGATTAGGGAACATCTGTCATGTCAGAGGACTGACTTCTGCATTGCAGTGTATGGTAGGAGGAGAAATATTGCAATACCTGTTGAATGAATGAAACTACCAGTATCAGTAGTAGCTCACATTTAGTGAGTGCTTACCGTGGTTCAGCTGTTCACATGTTTTACACTTTCTAATTCATTTATTTCTCACAAAAGCCCTATGAGGCATGTTCTATGGTTATCCCTGTTTCACTGATGAGGCCCATTCTCTAATGTGCTCGGGTCACATGTTGGATGGGAGACCTGGGCTGCCCCGGTCTGGCTGTAGCTGGGAACTATGGAGGGGTTGGCCCAAGGGGCCAGGGTTAGAAATGGAGGGAGTGTGGGAAGGACCGAAGACAGGCAGCCAGGGGCAGCCCTGTTGAGCTCACCCTTTCTGCTCTGCAGGAGGATAAAGACCTGGTCCACGGAAACGTGTGCACTAAAAACCTCCTCCTGGCCCGTGAAGGCATCGACAGCGAGTGTGGCCCGTTCATCAAGCTCAGTGACCCTGGCATCCCCATCACTGTGCTGTCCAGGCAAGGTGTGTCTCCTCCTCCCCAGGCCTCGCCCTTCCCCTCTCCCACACCTACCCCGAGGGAGAGGGGGCTGGGGTTGGGGTTCTATCTCCTTTTAGAAAGTGCACTTCAGCCCGTGGGTGTCTGGTGCTCCTACTCTGCCCTGGGGGGTGGGGGGAGGTATGGAGTGTGAGCAGGGTTGGTCCCTGACTCCTTTAAGGAGCTGACTATAGTAGGAGATACAGACAAGTCATCGAGGTACTTCTGGTCCTTGCAGTTAAGGAGCTGTGTCCACGGCGTCGGGTTAGCACAAGGGGAGGCCACTGGTCTGGAAGTGGTCAGAGAGGTGTTAGGAGGTGGGCCTCCTGGGTCCTCCTTGTTTCTTTTGAAATCCACTGTAGTAGTTAGCAGTTTGGGAGGCACCTGAGTGATTGCATTTTCTCTTTGAATGAGGTTATCATGCGTGTGGGCCCCAAAGGAAAGAGACCTGGGAGCTGAGACACTGAGGCCACCGTGGGAGACCAGCATGCCCCGGGGCGTGCCGCTGGCTCGTGATGGCCAGTCGTCTCCAGCACTGAGCACAGTGCCGGGCACTTAAAGTTTTGCTCCATCGAAGGGGAAGGGGAGGCACCCCGCAGTACGTGCTTGTCATCTGGCCATCATCCAGCTGGCCAGCTACTTGGGCCTGTCCTGAGCAAGGGTCTGAGGCATGGACACAGATGACTCTAGAACAAGTAGAGGAGCCGAGAGAGCCCACGAGAGAGGCCAGTTATATGCTGTGAGCGTTCCAGGGAGTACGGGTGATGCAGGGAGATGGGGGGATGACGGGTCAGTGAGGTGGGCCTGCAGCAAGGTGATGGCAGATGTGTGACCCGAGAGCACAGCCACACGGGCCTGTGTCAGAAGGACGTGAGAAGGTGGAGAAGAAAGGGTGAGTGGGCCTGACCAGCTCAGGAACCGCCCTCCTGCCTCAGGAGCCGGAGGCTGTGCCATGAGACCACTGTGCTGGTTGAGGGGCATGTCCAGGGACATGGCAGAGGTTCTGCTCAGATCACTGGCCTTAGAAGCCAGAACAGGGGCTGAGGGGTCCCTGGTATGAGAGAAGGGTGACTTCTTTACCTCAGTCTCCTCTTCCCTTGTTTTCCAAATGAAAGAAACCCACAATAAACAAATATAACATTGCTGGGTGATGGTGCAGAGTAGTTGAGATTCGCCCGCGCCTGCTCTCTGTAAGTTGGCCTCTTCTCCCTGTCTTCTCTTTCTGGAGCCTCTGTCCACATGGCCCCCTGTCCTCCCTCCTTGGGGTGTTGGCCTCCACCCTGGGTGCTGTGCTGTTTCTGAGGCCAGAGCTTCAGAAGACGGGGCTGCACACCCTCTCCTGGTGAGTCTGATAAACAGACACGTCTGCTGGCCCTGACAGCCTGATGCATCCACAATGTCAAGGATGAGGGGCCTGGATTCATTTGGAAAGCACTACTTGAAATAGTTTCTCTATGAGCTCACAGTGTTTGCTGCAACGATGGTGATTTGCTCCCGAGGTGATTGCAGAGACTGATCTGTGAATGTCTGCTGTCTTTCTGCAGAATGCATAGAACGAATCCCATGGATTGCTCCCGAGTGTGTAGAAGATTCCAAGAACCTGAGCGTGGCCGCTGACAAATGGAGCTTTGGAACCACACTCTGGGAAATCTGCTATAATGGCGAGATCCCCCTGAAAGATAAGACACTGATTGAGGTGAGCTTTTGTTTTCCAGGGTGTGAGCTGAGTGAAGGCTCCTGGGATGCTCATGGCTGTCTTAGGAGTTACCAGGAAGTCTCATATTGTGGAAAGAGATAGGCCCATCTCTTGTGACCTGGCAACTGTAACTTAACTTACCTGGGCCTCAGTTTCAGCATCTGTACAATGGGGATACATGAGACCCACTTTGTAGGATTTGAAGACTAACTACATAATGCACATAGAGTGCCAGGCACACAATACATGTCAGTAGATCATTATAGTATTATTCATCTGAGATTTCAAGTGCCTGTTAGTCAGCAAAATTAATACAGATATTTGTTGAGTTCCTTCTGTGTATCAGGCATTGTCTAGATAAAAGTTGGGGGCTCACAAGAAAACAGACAGGCCTTGCCTTCCCTTGAGGATGTGGTAGGAGAATTGGGCTAAAATAACAAAATAAGGATTCTATAAAGAATATTTCATACTCTCGGTGCAAGAGCCCTGCAGTTAGGTAGGAGTGCCTTTACCCTCACTGTACACGTTACAGGTCAGGTAACAGGCGCAGGAGCTTAAGACTCTCACCTGGGTTCCCCAGCTAGATTGCGAAACAGGCGAGGCTTCAGCCTCT